TCTTCCGTGGAACCCATTAATATCTGGCCCAATGTATGTGTCAAAGCATACCCTTGACTAGTATTTGTCACTTAGGAGGGCAGTTGTCTCTGGACAAAGGGATTTGGAAGAATTCCAGTGTCATGGACAGAATATAGTAAGATTTCAGTTTGTTAGAAGTAAGGATCCATTAAACTGGATCATCCTCCAAGACTCTTTTTAAATGATCTGGGCAGTTGAGACCTCGCAATTTTGTCATGATTTATGGGACTACTGGATGGTAACTTGAGCTGGGCAGCTGAGATGTTTCCCCCTAAATGTCAACTCTCAGAGATCAGGGGGGGGGGGGGGAAATGTCTCAAACGTCAATCAATAAAAGACTCCTCTTTTTTATAAGAGCAGAACTTTTATTCCTACCATAACTATGTTACGCCTTGTCCATTTATTCAAACATGGGTGTATCCTTACACATTTCATTTGCCCAAATGTATACCCACAAGTAACACTTAGCACTTCTATTTCAGCTCAGCTTTGGGCTGAAAATTATTAGTTGAGTCTTTTATTCTATGAGAATTCTTCAGTGTTGATAAATTCAATGCATGAAATCTAGAAGTAATTTTCTGAAAAAGGAAACAGCACACAGAGCATTTGTCATCTCAGGATATACTATAGCAATAATACAAATGAGATACCTTTCAAAGATTGGATTGCAGGAAAATGTACGTTTTGTAGTGTTTCAAAAAAATGTGAACAATGAAGGCAAAAAAAAATGTTCTGCAATTGTTATACAGTGAAAAATGTCCCTGAAAGACAGTTGTGGTTTCTGCCATCCCACCCCCACCTCCCACCTCCAAGAATGGCCAACAAAATGTTCCAGAAGAACATTTGTTAAAGTCCAGTAGGTCCAACTATATATGAATGTGGGAAGTGGTGCCTGTTGAGTCCTGCAAATACAGTCTTTGTTTTTGCCCAGGGCTCTCATAAATGAGCCTCATCTGAGCCTGGCAACGATGAAGGCAGAAGGTGGTACAGAAGGTGGTTCACTTCCTTCTTCAGATAAGATTAGGAAACTGCTTTCCCAGTGCTCGGAGAACAGCTTTCCCTCCCCCCCGCCCCCAACACATTTTGATCCCCTTTATTCCAGAAGAGCACGAGATACAAACCCTTCTGGGTCCACTGGGTAGACTTAAAAATTCACTACCGTATAGCTAGATTTAACTTATTTCACCGCTTCCTAGGAGGAAAAGGTAAAACAGGGTTGAGGAGTTCTTGGAAGAAAAGTTGCAAATGTGATAAATACATTTTAAGAACTTTGTAATTATTATTTCCTTGCTGGCCAGAAAACAGCAATCTTGTTAAGGATTATTGAGAGGACAAGGTTAATCTCCTCTCCCCAGTTAGAGTATCAGGACTGCTGTTTTTCTTCTCCCAATAATAGTGGAGAAAGAGTGGTTTGGAGAAGATCTGGAGAAGGATCGGGGTAGAAGAGAGGTTTTACACTCTGTAACAAGTACCCTGTATATAATTAAAATGCACATCGTAACCCACAGCTATGGAACTGTTTCAGCTGCTTTTCATCTGAACAGGCTTTTGAATATGGATTTAGAGAAATATGTCAAAGCAATCTGTTCGCATAATTCTACTTGCAAGCGGAAACTTCACATATAATCATCTCCCCATGTCCTATGGGGGGGGGGGGGGTTGCTTCTCTTTTCCCTATAAAGCTAGCATGGATTTCCGCTAATCACCCCACAGCCTAAGTAGAATTCTGATAAACACATGTCTTTGGACAGCTTCGCAGATGAAATACGGCAGTTCTGTTACCTACCCCTTAATTGCATTTCCTTCAGAGCCATATGAAAAAAATTATTTTCATTTATAAATCACACATATGACATGCCCCAAGTACTACCTTATGGTTTCTACGCATGATTCCACATATGCTTTCTTTCCCATTTCTGAAGCTATTTCATCTATTTAGCTCAGTGTTTTTCAAACTTGGCAACTTTAAGATGTGTGGACTTCACCTCTCAAAATTCTGGGAGTTGAAGTCCACACACCTTAAAGTTGCCAAGTTTGAAAAACATTGATTTAGCTAATGTTTTTAATTTACATTTCAGTCCATCTCCCTCTTTTTTTTATGTATTTAGGATGGTTAAGTATTATACATCTAGAAAGGAGCCTGTCTCCAAGACCCATCATTTAAAACAGGCAAAGTGACCCATCTGTGAAAATATATCTGGATTACAATAAATGTTGGCCACGCAGCGGGTGACCTACATGTCTGAGCACTGAATACAACAGACATTTGTTATCATACTGTATGATTGTCCCTCCTGTTTCATGTTTGGGGTTATTAGCCACAGAAGGTGAGAACAGTCTAGTTTGGACCGAAGCATTTAGACAGGGTAAATAATAAGGCTTATAAGCTTGGATAATTATAAAAAGACTCTTAAAGCAGCAGCGTCTTTTTTTCAGGGTTGCTTGGAAACCTGCAAAAGTCAGGCTGTTTAAGTAAGTAAGTAAGAGGTGATGTTATTGATTATATATGTGGTTGCTAGACATTGCATTACACTCTTGGCTATGAGTCCTGAACGTGGTGATCTCTTGGTGTTCCTTTGATTTGTGGGTATATTTGTCCATCAGACTGCAAGTAGGTTGATGAGGTCCATGATTCTGGGTATTTCGATCTTAGTGTATTTGGCTAGGTTGGGTGTGTAGTATTGCTGCTATGGATCTATGGACGTAAATAGTGCTGTGACATCGAATGAGACCATAATTTCATCTTCTTCTATTTTTTAAGTCTTTGATTTTCTGGAGGCAAGGTAGTGGGGAGTTGATAGAATATTCGCTCTGTGTGCGACATGGCAACACTACTACACAACACACCCGACCTAGCCAAATACACTACGATCGAGCAACCCTGGACTACATATATTCTCTTCTATTGGAACTTTGCTCAACACTGGAAGAAGAATAAAATCCTGATGATACCTGAAGGAGACCTTAAACTCGGAGGATACGCAGCAATGGCAAAACTAACAATATATATAGACAATAAAAGTTTAACTAAATTTAAGCAAGCATGGTTCCCATACAGACAACACATCATGCAGCTTGGTAAATATAACCACCTACAGTTTGGCTTTTAAGGGGGTCTGAATGCTAATAAATATTGCAAATTAGTAAATGCATTCAAAGGGTTGAGACAGAAATCAATATTTTTTTTCTTTTCTTTTTTTTAAAGTATTATTATTATTATTATTATTATTATTATTATTATTCTTTTGTGTTTTTAGGTATTTTAACTTTTAAATACTTTAACTTTTGTTAAACTTGCTTTGCCTATTTTTTATTTCCTTTTATCAATATATAAACATATGCAGTATATACATACACACTAATTAACAATACAATGAAGATCTTAATATTAAGTAATTAGTTCAAGACTGAAATTATTATCACATAACTAATATTTTGATGTGAATTGCAGTGGTTCTTTCTTTTTATCTTATATTCAGCTTTGGATGGAAAGTTAAATAATCTTATATTTGTAATACTGACATCCCAAATGGCAATTGATACTGATAGAACGTTTACTTTCCTTTTTATTTTCAATACTTTAAGCTTTTTAAATAATAGAATGTTAATAACTTTTTATCATATTATATAAACATTAATGCATGGAAATCTGCATTGAAATAATACAATGCATCTTGATTTACAACATTACAATAAAAGGAAAAAGGGGAGGAGGGAAGTGGCAAGACAGATTTTCTCTTAAAAATCCCATCTGTGCATCTATAGCCAAGAAGGAACAAAATCAGAACAACGGTGCATAGCAAAATGGCGACTGCTGTGCAGAAATATTGTAGGACTCCAAACCCATGTGAAATTCTCACAGTGGATTGTGCTTCAAGCTGTGAACACTGGGGTATTTGTCAAATGAACAGCCTGAGCTACCATCCTCAAAATAACCCACAGAACAAAAGAAACATTTATTTTTCCAAAGGAAGATCTTAGATCTTTTCTCCAGCAAGTTAAGTAGGGAGTGACATACGGTATGCCCTTACTTCCACCGCAGTTTTCTTCATCACTTCCATCCTTGCAGTCGTCGTCTCCATCACACTGGAAAGCACCAGGAACACACTGTCCATTTCTGCATTCCACCAGTCCCTGGCTATGGCATGCTGGAAACAAGAAGGGGTTCTGATCATTTTGCAGTGTCTCCGTTTCTTATAAAGTACAATGAGTTACTTCATTCACATTTGGATAGCCTACAAATACAAAATAGGATAAAAATAGGCTATTTCTGTTACACTGTTAAAATAATGAGGAAATGAGCAAAGAACCCATTTGGTGCAGTAGTTAAGCACCAGGCCAGAAGCCAGGGGACCATGAGTTCTAGTCCTGCCTTAGGCACAAAGCCAACTGGGTGAGCTTGGGCCAGTCACTCTCTCTCGGCCCTGGGAAGAAGGCAATGGCAAACCACTTCCGAAATACTGCCAAGAAAACTGCAGGGTCTTGTCCGGGCAGTTGCCAGGAGCCAACATTGACTCAAAGGCACACACACAAGCAAAGTATAATTGCAGAATCCCAGGGTTGGAAGGGACCCCATATAGTAATTTCATACTAATAATTTATCAACATAGCACTTTAAATATAAACTTTATATTGAAATGGATAGTTGAGTTGGATTATGCTGAATAGGATACTTCAAATAAGATTCACAAGGAAATCCACCAGATATGAAGATATTGCACTTAAAAAGACAGCTGCCAACGCATGTAATATCAGATAACTTACAACAATTGACTTCATCTGACTTGTCTAGGCAGTCAGGATCTCCATCACAGATCCAGTCCGTTGTTATGCATCTCCCATCTCCACACTGATGCTGAGTAACTGGATTACAATCTTTAACAGATAATATTGATAGAAAAAAAGAAAGAGAACACAGACAATATTTCTTCATTACTGAGTACATAACTGGCTAGCAGGCTATTGACTTAACTCAAGAAATTCTCTTTCTTTTTTGTCAATGTCGATGTAAGTGTAATAATTAAGAACATGCCATGGCAACTTTGACCAGAATTCAAAGGCCTGTTTTAGCTATATCTGATAGGATTTTTAGCTTATATTCCAGACCCAACAGAATATTAAAATGCCTGTCCCAACCTCAAAACGTCTTATTTACAAAACTGATTTCTCTAAAATTATTATTTTTAAAAGGTAATGGTGCTGGAAGATCTGTTCCTTGAAAAACATAGTGCTTGAATCCCATACAGTCTGCAATACAGATTACCCATTATCAGCTGTTGTGGCATCTTTAAAAGCAAGAAGTGCCCAGCCTGCGCCATTCAACAAAGTTGCTATTCCCTGGAAACACACACACACACACACAATACAAGTACTCATACTATTCTTGTTCTTTCTCCTTTACAAGTAACAGCAGCTTGGATCACAACTGCACCAGGAAAAAGCACATGGAATTACGGGGAAGCGTTATCTTTCCATGGCCCTGACCTGAACCAAATTGGTTGGATCTCCAAACATAACAGGAAGAAAAAGGGTTTGGGAGATCCAGTTGTGAGTACTGTACCTATAATCCTGACAGGGGACTCAATTAAGCTTCTCGCGGGTATTTCTCAACCTTGGCAACTTTAAGATGTCTGGCTGGGGAATTCTAGGAGTTGAAGTCCAGACGTCGTAAAGTTGCCAAGGTTGAGAAACGCTGCTGTAGATTATCTTAAGAGATACAGGATATGAAGACTTACAATAGTTTTCCCTATCACTGCATTTTCCATGTTAGAAAGAGTTACCTCTGTCTTGCAAATGTTTATGGTACGAAGTCTAGCAGGATAAAAGATGGCTGTATCTTTATCTCTTTGGGAAACAATACATATTATTGAATAGTGAAAGCAGGAAAAGCTCTTGATCCTGATGGGTTGTTGTTGTTGTTCCTCCATTGCTGGACGTTTATGATGAGGATATTTTGAATAAAGTTTTTCCAATTTCTTTTAATGAGGCATATATAAGTGATTTTCAATGCTGGTAAATAGTCTGTGCAAGTTATTGCTCATTTCCAGGTCAAAGGCTGGCACCAAAATGTAGACAGTGACCCTGGGATGTAGGTTACAAACAATCTTTGCTTATCCATCCTGCCGAATACATTTTCATAAAAGGGCCACAAGCCTTACATGATATTAAATTATTAATTGAGTGTTTAGATAAACATTCAGAAAATCTGAAATCAACAATGGTAGTTTGGTTGGTTGTAGTAAAGGCCCTTGATTCGATCCAATGGAAAATTCTGGAACAAGTTCTAGCCAAATAAGGATTTGTTTTAATTAATTGGACTAAAATATGGTATCCTTCAGACAGGGTTATTACAAATGGGATTATAACCTATCGAGATACTTTGTGGAAATCATCAATCCTTCATCTTCCCTTCTGTCTAATTTGATATTGGTCTCATTGGCCTGTCAACAAGCAACTGAAGGACATTCTAAATATAAGAGATTAATGCAATCTATTATTATATGCAGGTGATATGTTTCACTGATAACTATGAATGTCCTGTACCAACCTTTATTGATATAATACATCAGTCTGATAAATGATTGTATTAAGTACATAACATAATTGGAGTAAGCCTTATAAACCTCTTACAGGTTGTAGAGCATCTACATAAACTTGTAAAAATAGAGTTTTACTTGGTGCTTGAATTATTTTACATATCTTGGAATAGTAATCCTGAGGGGAAAAAAATCTTTCTTTGTATCCCAAGGGAAAAATATACTCCTTGATTCCAAAGAAACAATTCCTGGGGAGATGATATGGTAGGAAGAGACAACTCAGGTTTGGTTCCATGGACAGCAGCAATATGGAAATGAAAACATGGAAAGTGAAACATGGAAAGCACCAGTCGATGTTGGTGGGACCAGAACAAGAGGACCTGAAGAATCCACAGAGATGAAGACGGTGCCTGTCAGGCAGAGTCCGGGATCACTGAGCTGAGGACACCTTCGGGATCGTACGTCTAGTAACTGGGGCTCAAGCCTGCTGAAACTGGGCTTGAGTCTGCTCTCAGGAATCCTGAGTAAGTGAGAACAAGACTGCACGCCAAAAGGACCTGCCCCGTCCCCGAGACACAAAGTGGCTCTCAGGTGAACAAGACGACCTCAGTGCGCTTCCTTAGTCCTAGGCCGCCAATGCAGGCAGTGCCACCAGTTACTTTCCTCTAAGCAGATGCTACACCTAACACGTTTTCTGAAAGGGAAGCTTCAGGCTGCTAGAATATTTAGTTATAGAATAAATAGAACTCGCCCTGAGAGGAATGCAAAGGAAAGAAGTGGACAAAGGCAAGAAAGGAGGCAGGAAGAAGCCAAGAGAACACTGCTCCAGATGTTCCTACTGCAGCAGAAGAAAACGAATGACGGGAAAGGATGGGAGATTCCTCTTTCAATATGTATAATGGGTGTCATTGTTTCTTGATATGGTCAACTGATTAAGCTATGCGATACAGTGAGTATCAAGGTGGGACCTGGCTGCCAAACACTTACTGTAGCTCTAGAAAGGTACAAAGGATCCTCGACCCAGGCCTGAGTAATGTGCTGAGAACTTGAAGGACAAGCTGAAGCCTTTGGATCTGTATGATCTTCTACGTCTGTGCTAGTACGGTACTTGGCTTCGGTCTGCTCCAGAACTGAATCTGGAAACAGGGGCTGTGATTTTAGAATGAGCATAACTTTCTGTGGTACTGCCTATTATCTAAGGGTGCCTGTACCCCACTCTTTTGGGATCAGATATTAATCCACTCCCTCTAAGCTTTTAAACTGCAGTGGAACCTCGGGTTATGAACTTAATTCATTCCGTGACTCTGGTCGCAACCCAAATTGGTCGCAACCCGAAGGAAATTTCCCCATAAGGTTCAATGTAATTACCG